TTGTAGTAGTGTTGCAAGAAATTGTTAGAAAGTGACAAGATCTGAGAGAAAAACACTTGACAATGTTTTGGATTACAACCACTTAAAATGAAAGATTAATATTGTATACTCAATTTCACATAACAAGGGGCAATTTTCCTACAATTTGTTCCTAGAACAAACTCATTCATTTTGCTCTATAAGCAACTAAAAACCCTAACTCACATTCTACATGTCACTGTCAGAAATATATCTAGGGATGTCCCAATCCAATCACCAGATCAGAAATTGGGGCCGATCATGTGGTTTTGGACTCTATCAGAATCTTCATATCCCGATCAGGGATTGGATCTGTTTCCTTTACATTGACTCGGCAGCAGCGGCCGCCATCGCAATGTTAGTGACATGTCTTCCGAATGCAAATGTTTCACATGGATGACATCAACATTTCTAAGGGTGCTCTCACACCTCTTAGTCCAGTAGATGGTTTCATTGGCCCAAAAGTTGTAACAATGTTGCAGTTCTCAACTAGTCTGGTTGACATTCACACCAGTGTTTCTGCAAACAAAACAACTGCTATGGATTATATCCTCCAGGCATGTGCTGGCGCTGTTCAGAAAATACAGTTTTGTGTTGAAACGATGGCGAAGAAGGAAAATCCTGGAAGAAAAAAATCGGGCTGTGTTATGTTCTTCTGCTTGTTATTGTGGTGATATATTATCAGCATTCCTTTATGAAGCCGCACAGATACTGCTGTTGCTCCAGCATGAAACTTGCATACGACACGAGAACACTGCAAGTGTTTTTTTGTCCCCACGGAGAAGATGTTTTGCAAGACACCATCAGCAAATGGGCTTAGCTCCTGACCCATCTTGTATTTTGGAAATGCGTGTCTCCTGCGACTTCTCCAGTATCTTCTGTTTAATTTATCATGTAGGATGAAGTGAACTGTTGTAAATGGGCCAAATCGAGGCTGTGCAGTGTTCTCACCATCAGTGAACCATACTGGAGTCTGCATGGAACCGTACAGAGACCACCTCCAGAGGTCGTTCTCGGTGCGGTTCTTTAATCCGGACCAAAACAAACTGGTCCACTTTCCCACTTGCCCAAACGTACCGCACTTGCAGGTGTTCGGACCCCAGTCCACTTTTACCAGACCAAACCAGGTAGGTGTGACAGCACCCTAAATTGAAGCTGCATTACCGCCTCCACCTGCAGAAGCGCTGCCAGCCATCTGCTCTGCATATAGACACATTGTGCAGAGAGGTGGCCTCTCTGAAACGCTCAAGGTGTGAGCTGATGTGCTGCAAGGGTCGGAACAAAACTGTGGCGCAACAAAAGTACCATGTTTTGACAGAACACCCGAACGTTGTGCACACAAACCTAATAAGCCAGAAGGCTTTAAAGATCATAAACTTCATAAATAATGAGGATAAAGTGTTTTTTAATGGATTCGGTTCACCATTTCATCAAAAACAACTGCAATCCCAAAATCAGCTTCTTTTAATGAGAAAATGCCAAATATTTATTTTTATATGGCATGAGTTATAATGTAGTTGTTTAGAAAATAAATGCATCAACTTCACAGATAAATCTCCCTGTATTAGAACATTCATTTTGGCATCTATATTATTATTTATTTTAGCACATTTGTTTTACAAGTACCCCACAGTTTGGGATCATTTATGCACAGTGTGATGATATGATATGACACCCCTCTCTGACCAGTGATATCACCAAATCTACAAGATTTTGTTGGGGAAGCACTGTCCTTTAAATTTTTTTTTTCTTAAATTTTTATTGTATTGTAGAAGCATCAGATCAGGACTCGGTATCGACCACTTCTCAAAATCAAATGACTGCGTGGCAAAACAAAAAAATCTGATCGGGACATCTCTAAAATATACCATATACCATTATAAGGTATAGGGTTATTACACACTCGAATTTAAGCAAGGTCTGTTTATTTTATAGATAACCAAAGTTCTCCTTGAAGAATACCCAAAACTGCGACAGTTACGTGGTGGCTGGCTTCTTCAAAAAGCCACTGGTGAGACTATGATGCCATGTTTGTTGAACAAATAACCATACAGTGTATCATTTTTGACAATATTTGAAAAAAATACAACGATATATAACATTATGATATTTAATAGTATAATATACAATATTAAAATTTTTCCATGAATGTTTTGTACTTTTTAAGGTGGGAATGGCCAAAGGAAAACCACTCCGCTACCCCAGTCCTCAATGGGTTACACATCAAAAATACTGAAGTCCTCCTCCAACAATGGGAAGATTACCATCTATATCGTCCCATTACAAGAAAAGATAGACATTGTCCCTTTACCATACAATGCACCAGAATTCGAGAATATGCCGAAAAATTACTGCATGACCTGCGGTGCATCAGTTCCACTGCAGCTGCTACCTTTTCACCTCGAGTCTTGTCAGTGTGATGATGTAAGTAAAGTGATTCAGTGTTGTGAAGGCTAGATTATATGTAATTTTGGGTCTTATAATTTATAGCATGGCAAACCAATCTGACTAACACCATGTATGAGATACACAGCAAACAATACTGAAGAAAGGGACGAAGAGCAAGGAACTTTTGAAAAACACGTAATATCATTCTTTAGTAACAAGGGCATCAGCATTGATAATAATGACATTGAAGCNTTGTATTTTGGAAATGCGTGTCTCCTGCGATTTCTCCAGTATCTTCTGTTTAATTTATCATGTAGGATGAAGTGAACTGTTGTAAATGGGCCAAATCGAGGCTGTGCAGTGTTCTCACCATCAGTGAACCATACTGGAGTCTGCATGGAAACGTACAGAGACCACTTCCAGAGGTCGTTCTCGGTACGGTTCTTTAGTCCGGACCAAAACAAACTGGTCCACTTTCCCACCTGCCCAAACGTTCCACACTTGCAGGTGTTCGGACCCCAGTCCACTTTTACCAGACCAAACCAGGTGGGTGTGAAAGCACCTTAAATTGAAGCTGCATTACCGCCTCCACCTGCAGAAGCGCTGCCAGCCATCTGCTCTGCATATGGACACATTGTGCAGAGAGGTGGCCTCTCTGAAACGCTCAAGGTGTGAGCTGATGTGCTGCAAGAGTCGGAACAAAACTGTGGCGCAAAAAAAGTACCATGTTTTGACAGAACACCCGAACGTGGTGCACACAAACCTAATAAGCCAGAACGCTTTAAAGATCATAAACTTCATAAATAATGAGGATAAAGTGTTTTATAGTGGATTCGGTTCACCATTTCATCAAAACACCTGCGATCCCAAAATCAGCTTCTTTTAATGAGAAAATGCCAAATATTTATTTTTATATGGCACGAGTTATAATGTAGTTGTTTAGAAAATAAATGCATCAACTTCACAGATAAATCTCCCTGTATTAGAAGATTCATTTTGGCATCTATATTATTATTTATTTTAGCACATTTGTTTTACAAGTACCCCACTGTTTGGGATCATTTATGCACAGTGTAATAATATGATATGACACCCCTCTCTGACCAGCGATATCACCACATCTACAAGATTTTGTTGGGGAAGCACTGTCCTTTAATTTTTTTTTTTTCTTAAATTTTTATTATATTGTAGAAGCATCAGATCAGGACTCAGTATCGACCACTTCTCAAAATCAAATGACTGCGTGGCAAAAACAAAAAAATCTGATTGGGACATCTCTAAAATATACCATATACCATTATAAGGTATAGGGTTATTACACACTCGAATTTAAGCCAGGTCTGTTTATTTTATAGATAACCAAAGTTCTCCTTGAAGAATACCCAAAACTGCGACAGTTACGTGGTGGCTGGCTTCTTCAAAAAGCCACTGGTGAGACTATGATGCCATGTTTGTTGAACAAATAACCATACAGTGTATCATTTTTGACAATATTTGAAAAAAAAATACAATGATATATAACATTATGATATTTAATAGTATAATATACAATATTTACATTTTTCCATGAATGTTTTGTACTTTTTAAGGTGGGAGTGGCCAAAGGAAAACCACTCCGCTACCCCAGTCCTCAATGGGTTACACATCAAAAATACTGAAGTCCTCCTCCAACAATGGGAAGAATACCATCTATATCGTCCCATTACAAGAAAAGATAGACACTGTCCCTTTACCATACAATGCACCAGAATTCGAGAATATGCCAAAAAATGACTGCATGACCTGCGGTGAATCAGTTCCACTGCAGCTGCTACCTTTTCACCTTGAGTCTTGTCAGTGTGATGATGTAAGTAAAGTGATTCAGTGTTGTGAAGGCTAGATTATATGTAATTATGGGTCTTATAATTTATAGCCTGGCAAACCAATCTGACTAACACCATGTATGAGATACACAGCAAGTCAGTCTGGGTTCCTTGATTGGAAAGTGGTTTCCACTCCGGTAAAAAATTGACTGGACCAATCACAGCACAGAAGGCGGGACTTTGCAATAAATCTTTTTCGGCAGCTTAGTTCTTTTTTTTATTTTTTTTTTATTTAACATTACCTATATTTATACAGGTAAGTCCCATTGAGATCGCAGTCTCTTTTTCAAGGGAGACCTGTTTACCTAACATACATATCTTTAGATAACCATAAATAACCAAAAATAGTAAGAATGGCGGCCGCAGAGAAGCGACTATATAACAATGCCATTCTGTTGTATCAAATGAGGTGCACATGTCCTTAAAACCACATTATCTTGCTGCTCTGAGGGCTTTCCTCTTACAAAAAGATGTTTACGTCACTTCCGGGTGCCTCTGACTGATTTTCTCCAGTTCAGTTTGTTCCTATTAGTCTCGCCTCTCGCTCGCATTGGAAATCAGTCTCCAGCGGAGCAACCCAGACTGACTTGCCGTGCATCTCATACATGGTGATAGTCAGGCTGGTGTACCAGGCTATATAATGTTTGCCTGTCCTTTGAATGCAGAATGTGGAACCTGTAGTGATAGCGGAAAATGACCAGGAGGAAGATATCATTTGTATGGTAAGCAATCATTTAGACAGAAATTGACAAAAGTCAGAAACTACTATGAAGGTATCCAAAATTTGTCACAGATACGTAGAAGGTGGATTTCACTGATTGGAGACCTTGTGATGTAAACATTATTTTAACCTCAAGAAATCTGTCATTTCAGTGTCACTTAATGATGGTCTAAATTGTTGA